GTGTAGTAAAAGGGGTATTTCCCCAGCAAATAGCAAAATCCGAATACCGTGCACGAACTGCGTGATGTGGGCCGTGCAAGCCTTCAGCTGGTGCCAAGACGTGCGTAAACGAAGAACGTCCGCTTCGGACGGAGCAACTGAGGGAAGCCGCTGATCGAGCCCAGCGTGCCCGCGGCCGCCTCCCGCGCAGCACCGCCGCTGGGGACGACACGCTGCGGATTCGGATCGAGCCCGGGGGGCGCGGCGGGCCGCTCGATGGTCGTCCGCTTCGTCTGCGACAAGTCCATCCCAAAGGCGCGTGTCCTGCGATAGATAGACTCGACGGGCTCACCGGCGCGGGGTGGACGCAGGACAGATGCTGGCGGCACACATGGCGACAGGGACACACGGACAAGACACCCCCTCGCCTCTCCCTGCAGCCTGCCGACCGCCGCCGCTCTTTTCTCCTCCGCCGCCCGCCTCGCCTACCGCCTCTCCCTCCCTGCCGCCTCCCACCCTCCCCCTCGCCTTCTGGCCTCTCCCCGCCCCGCCACCTCTCCACTCGCCACTCCCCTCCCTTCGCCATCACCGCTACCCTCACCGCAGCCTCCCTCACCGCCACCGCCCCTCACCGCAGCCTCCCTCACCGCCACCGCCCCTCACCGCAGCCTCCCTCACCGCCACCGCCCCTCACCGCAGCCTCCCTCACCGCCACCGCCCCCTCCCTACCTCCAAAGGCGGTCCTCACCGAAGCCACCGGCGGCAGCCTCAAGTACAACCTCACGGTCCGCGCCGCCGCCGCCTGCCCGGTCGGTCGCTGCACAGCCAGCGCTGGGACTCGTCACACCTTTGCCACCCTCCTTGCGGAGCAGGAGGAGATCCGCTTGCTGTACTTTGAACAGCGTGCCAAGACCTACATTGAGGAGGTGCTCGTACCGGCGCTCGGCATCAGAGAGAGAGAGATTTTGTTCGGCATCAGTGTGTTTTACTACGTGATGGAGTTTGCTTGGGCCCGTCGCTTCCGGGACCAGGGAGCGGCGGGGAGGGGGCAGATTCACTTCCATCTGCTCGGCTGGCTCGAGAGCGGCGAGCCACACCATATCATCTCGGTCGGCAACTCGAGGGACTCAGTAGTTGTGACCCCCCTGGAGTGAGTGAGGACAGGAGAGAGAGAGCTTTGTGGTGTTGGTGTACGCAATAACGGGACAGGGTAGTCGTTCTCTCTAGCTCCCCTTCTAGCTCTTAGCATGAGCTGCGCCCTGTGTCCGACCCCTTTTGCGCAGCAACACCTTAAACTTTTCAGGCCCTCCAAATTCGGGTCGGAGCGTAGCGGAGTGGGCCCCGAGTTTGAAAAGGGCGACGGACGCTTGCGTCCTAGCCTCCAACAACGCCTCCCCGGCGCAGAGGGGCCCCCGGAGGGATGCACAACCGACCCGCGCCACGCCGCTTGCGGCGGTCCTCTTCCCAGCTCCGCTGAGGGGCCGTGCATTTTTTCAGGACTTCGCGCCGGATGCGTTTGCATATGACAACGTCGAAGGCACTCGGCAAGCGTCCGGTGTCGCAGCGGCCGTCGGCGTTTGACGTCCTGCTCAACCGCGCGCGTTGTGAACGTGCAACATCAAGCCCTGCCAGCGATCCCGCCCGGCGGCCTCCTTTCAGCGAGACGCGTGGTGACGGCTCACGGTTCATCGAGTGCCCGTGCTGCGGCGAACAGATCCACCGAGCCCTGATAGGCTCACACCTGGAGTGCTGCCCCGGGGGCGTGGCTGCCGCGCCGCCCTTCGCGGCGGCTGCCGCCGCATCGCAAAACAGCGCCGCCTCCTCAGTGGCGTCCGAGGTCGCGTGCCCCTCGTGCGGTTCCTACTTTCCGACCGAGGCCGCCGTCTTTGCGCACCTCGATGTCTGTCCGGGAGCACGCGAAGCAGAGGACGCGGACAGCTGCCGCGAGAGAGAGAGCGGCTGCGCCTCTTCCGGCGATTGTCAAAGTAGCTCGAGCGGCGATGGTGGGAGTACCGGCGGTGACCCTCGCGTCTCCTGCCCGGCGTGCGGCGTGTGCGTGCAGCTGTCGAAGCTGAACTCGCACCCCACTCAACCGCCGCGCCGCTAGAGTGGTGAGTCGCCTCTCCAGCCGCGGGCTTTTAATAG